GCCTTAGAAATATGGTTGTAGCCAGTCCCTTTGTACTTTTTATAGTTGTTATTTTGTTATGAAGATGATGGGACTTTGAAGATTGCCCCATATTTTTTGACTTTTCCTCGCTATGAACAATAAGGCCAGGAGGGCGATTTTATTTTTTTAGGTTTATCTTTAAATTTACTTGATTTCTCTTTATACAAATTTTTTTATTGTGAGTTTTTCATGATATTTTGGGTGTGTAAAAATGTTTGTGAAAAGTAGTGAAGCAGTGCTACTAAACTGCCTTTGATTATCAGTTGTGGTTCTAGTTCAGAAAACTTGAAATTTATTCTATTTTTTGTTTATTTTTCTTAATGAACTCAAAAACATATTGTATAGAATTAGCTAGTTATCTTTAAATCAAATCTTTTTACAGATTGACGGAATTTGTGGACGCATAACTTGAAGAAAGCTTAAGCCAACATTAAAAAGACTTATGAGTGGCAATTTTAGTTTGGCCAATCTTGAGAACCTCAATAACCATCTTAGTTACAGTTGTTTCATGTGCCTATGAATGGCTGAAATGAATAATATGCAGAAAAAGTGGGGGTTCCTGTCATTATCGAAACCATCGGCTTGTCTAATGCACTGTAGTTCAGCTCAGTTGAGATTGCACTGTCGAGAACTGGAAGAATCCTGAAGCTTCGAGATTAACATTCTAACAATTTTGCTGATTATTGTTCAGTTTTCAAATTCTTAAGGGCTTAAAGTGTCTGTGACGGATAAATAGACTGGATGAATCGTCAAAGCAGGAAATATCAGGTTTTTAAATAATATTTCAGAAAAGAACTAGTTTTTTTGACAGCGCAAGTAGAGGATTCTGGTAATGGAAAATATTTTCAAGTTAAGTACATATGCTAACGTTTGACTTAATTGTTTCAAAAGATGCTTTTTAAATTGAAATGGTTTTTTAACATTTGGAAAACGATTAAAAGCACCTAGAGAGGTAATCGGTAAAAGCCAAGAAAGAGATGATTAGAGATAATATTGGCACTTCTGAAACGGTTTCTGATTTTTTTTATCAAAGCGGTAAAGTTTACATATGTATATTGTCGAGAAATAAAAAGAATTTTACTATTTTGCTGTCTAAGAATTTAAGGGTAAAGAAAAATTTCTGGTCAACTTCTGTTTCTTGACCTTTAATTTCAGAAACAACTGCAGCCATCGGCACGCATTATTCGCAACAAGATGTAGTTGAACTGTTACAATTACAAAGTGTAAGGTGTAGAAATGGAAGATTTTATATGGTTGTCAGTTGCTAATTGATGAGTGATACTTGCTGCAGAAATGATTTATGCTTATTTTTGACGAATTACGCAAAATGATGAATGAAACTCTGCGATTGTCCTCTGGGAAAATGAATTTGATTTTAACAGATTATAGGGGAAGCTTGTCACTGGAAGATTTTAAACATTATTAACAGAAGTTTACGCACGAGTTATTCTACGCTTTTGACTAAATATTAAAATGTAGTTTTTGAGTCAATATCAGATTTATTTTTGAAGAAACTAAGCTTTTAAACCAGTGCAATTTGCTTAATTTTTTAACCCTAAAGTTCCAGAAGCATTATAGCATATTTCATAATTTCTCTTCTGAATCAGTAAATTTTTGAGGTTTATCTGATCATTTTGGAGTAGTAATTTGATTTGCCTCTATTAACAATTTTCGTCGATTTTAACTGGTTTAAGCAGTTTGAAAACGGTAAATTGTTGCTTTTTTCTTCAATTTGTTCATGCTTTATTAGACTGAAAGTCGTTTTTCACTACAAGTTTTATTTTACAGAGAAAACGCTACGGATAAGCGTTGATAAAACAGTGTTGAGCTGATGGAGTTTAACATATTTTTAACATATTTTATATAGTTTAATATATTTTTCCATATTTTTTTTATCGTGCGAAAACAACTGGTGTTGTCGGTCAATAAAGAACTTGTTTATATCTGTAGTTATCCAATTCAGTTAGATCTCATTTGTATTTCTTTTGAAAAGTTAGTCATTTCAAAATCATTTTGAACACAGTTTCTGAAAAGTTTCAGAATTGTTGCATCATTAACAATCATTTTTAGATACGTTTCTATCAAAACCAATTTCAAAATTTCAACGACAGTGCAGTGCGTGATGTTGCTTGTGTTTAAGGTGCGTTGCATTTGAAAAAGAGGAGTCATCTCAAAGCATGCAAAGAAAGTGCCGTATTTTTTATATATTCTGTTTTTCACAAAGCAACATAGGAGAAAATATCAGAAATTTTACGCTTTTGGCTTTTTCTCAAGTCTCTTCTCCTACACATTTTGCGACGAGTAGTTGTTTTTTTTTTTTTTTTGAAAATTTAGTTCTAAGCAGTGCTTTCCTACACGCACTTTTGTAAGTGTTATTCTTTTAGTTGAAAACAGTAGAGATGCACCTGGTTCATAATCGGTCTGGTTCCTGATAAGAGTAGACAAATGCGTTAACTGCGAAGTTGTTCCAACAAGAGATGAGTCAGTGCTTTTCAGGGCTTTTGTAGCCGAGATTTAATGTTTCAAAATTCTATTTATTGCTAGATTTTTTCAAAGAATTCTTGCAGGAGAAGTTCTATATATTGAATGAGATATTTCAAATTCAGCATTCAGCATTCAAACATTTGGAACTTGCATATGATAACATCATTTTGCTCTTTACTGTGACCTTACAACTAATCCAAGTTGTGCTTCGCGTGTCAAAAATAGAAAACTCAAAGTAAACTGTTGACACACTTTTTATAAAAGAGCAAAGCAGGTTTTGATTACAAGTTTAGTAGGTCAAGGTAAGTTGTCAATCACAATTATTCTGCAAGACTTTGAAATAGGGGCTCTAAAATAATTAGGCTTTTCAACACATAATATCATTCAAAGCTCAAAAACAGTGATTGAGGCATACAAAAACTTCCAAGTAATGTAGAACAAATACTCAGTAGAAGAAATAAGACTTTTCTTTTCAGAATACAATAAGTGAAAATGAAGAAATAAATTCAAAATCTTTTGTTAAAAAACGATAACCATTATTGTCTTAAACTGCTGTTTTAAAAAATAAAGCATGAATTATTTAGTACACTGAATCTGAAAAAACTGAAATACTGAAAATACTGAAAAAAGACATGTTTTAAGACTAGACTTCAAGTTGAATAAGAGCTTTTAAGTTAGCATTGTCTAAAAGAAAGTGGACGTTTGAATTTATTAGTTTTGGATTTCGAATAACACTGTATGTTCGATGTTTATTGATGTAAACCTGAAGAAGACTGGATTTGTTGGTAAATTTTCTTACATTTACATAATAGACATGTTTTAAGACTAGACTTCAAGTTGAATAAGAGCTTTTAAGTTAGCATTGTGTAAAAGAAAGTGGCATTTGCTTCAAGAAAACGTAAGGCCAATGTAGGAGATCGTAAGTTACCCATTCGTTAAGAAATTATTGGAATTTTTTTAAAATTATTCAGATAATCTGGACTTGAAATTGGTGTTGCAGATTACAAGTCCATAAATTCTTTAAGCTTTTGAAGTTGTTCAAAAGTAAACTTTCTGAACTTTATTAGTAAAATCAAAGAATTTTGACCGCTATAAGTTTGCAAGGAAAAATTTACAGTAAAGCAGTTGAATAGTACGATCTAATAAAGCAGATCAAAGTCTAGGTGTAAGTAAAGTGCTGTAGGAAGAATTTTTGTTGTAATATTATAAACATTAAAGAATTACTGAGC